TTTTTTTTTTTTTTTTTTTTTTTTTTTTTTTTCCTTCTCCGTGTGGTGGAAAGTTTATAAAACTTTAAAACGACAAAAAATTGAAGAACAGAAGCAGCAATACCATTGAAAAAAAAAAAAAAAATTAAAAAAATAAGAAATTCTAAGAAAAGCTAAGCCTGAAGAAACACGAACAAAGTTCAACAGAATTATTAAAAAAAAAAAAAAAAAAAAAAAAACTAAATTGACAATTCAAAAAGATATGTGAGCAAAAGTTGTAAAATATATTGCTTACGATTAATCACATATGTATAATCACCAAGTTTGTTTTCATGTATACGCCTACATAAATAGTATTGTTAGCTTTTAATATATGTACACGTATAAATATTATACCAAATAGGATATGCCATTCACGTGTGCGTGTAAATTTTAACATATATAAAAATTGCATACAGCTATGCCAAATATATATGCATATTATAATATAATACACGTGCGTGCCATCATTGATTATATATGAGAGCTCATAAACGCATATGGAACAAAACAAAAAAAAAAAAAAAAAGAAATAATTAAGTTGAAAAATTGAATAAAACTGTATAATTAAGTTAAAAAAATGGACCCTGCAAGGCGAGGGGAAAAGGAAAAAAAAAAAAATTCAACAACGTAGCGTAGCAGATAGCACGTAACGCACAACACATTGGACGAGGAAGAAAGGTGATTAACTTCAAGGTGCCAGTTACTTTCTCCTTTTCCTCTACGCATTCGTGTGAACAGCCATTAACACGCAGGGTTTCGAATCCCCACAACCCCGTGTACACACAATGCGCATAATAACATAATATTTCCTGTTGCATAAATGCAACACATTTTAAAATATAAATTCACAACTGAAACAAGTCCTATATGAGTACACTTCAAAATTTAGACGAGGGAGCACCTGCTGAAATAACTTTCCATTCGTCACTTTTTCTTTTCCTTGCTACTCGAGGCTTTAGAGTTCTAACGGGGATGGGGAAAAAAATAAAGGATATTGTGCAGCGTTGGCGTATACATGACAGGCACAAGCATGTGTAGCGCACGTTTATACATACGTACATACATACACATACGCAATGTTTATCGGCGATAAGGAATCTGCCCCTTCCAAGAGGGTCACCCATGTTGTGAGCAAACAACGTATGAACTTACCCTTCTGCTCATCTGCACAACGGCATCCACGATCAGGCGGCATCTATACTCTATGTGTTCGTACGGGGTGCTTGCGTACTTAAAAAAATCCTGAGCTTGAGCCCAATAATAGGGCGTCTAAAGAGGTGGGGGGGGAAAAACGTAAAAGGGTGTGTTTAAATTGGCACCAAAAAGGGAGGGAAAAAAAAAGACAAAACTTCCCACTAATGCGCAATTAACAAATGAATACGTCCGCTTGGTGTACAAAAGCGGGGCAAACATTTCGTTCAGTTTTACGTTCATCCTCCCACGCAAAGAACTTACCAAAATGTGAATGCTCTTTGTGTGAACCACCCCCTCCTGGTACAACAGCCAAAGTAATATTTTATTTTCTCTTTCGTAATATGCTATTTCTTCTTCACTCATAGCATTTTTGGTCTCCTTCTCTTCCTTAACTTCCCCTGTGGGGGGGTTTGGTGGTTCCTCCAGTTTCTGCAAATGTTCGTAGCACAGATTCGGGGGCAATTCCAGCTTGTCAATGGTGTCGACTCCATCGGACAGCTGCTTTTCAACCTGCCATAGGATAAAGGAATGAGTTTCCATGAAGATGTGCACAGAATTAAAAGGGTCTTTTTTTTTTTTTTTTTTTACACGCATTAGGAAGTATAGACATGTACAGTAAACGCATATATAGTGCACGCGCTATCACTTCTCAATAAATTTCTTAATTACAAAATTTGCGATGAGATCGTTTTCCTCCTGTATCAACTGCCTCTGCAGATCGGACTTTTGAATTTTGTCGAAGAGTCTTTTACCCTAAGAAAGGAGTGGCAAAAATGGGCACGACGTGAGGGCACGGTTTGGAGAGCAAATATGATGATTGATGACAGCACGCATAGAAGCATGCGTAGAAGCACGTATTACGTCACGCCTGATGCTATGTGCGATGCCAAACACACCGCCTCTCAAACCGCTACGCGCTCTGCTTACCCCCTTGACCTGGTTGTATTTCCGGAAAAAGACCCGCAAGTAGGCCCTTATATCCTCCAGAGTCTTCTTCGAATTGCCAAAGTACTTCTCCTGGATGAACTCGATGTCGTCGCTGCCGTAGATGATCAGCCCACTCATCAGCTTGTTAAATTCCGCCTTGTTCCATTTGGCGAACCCTTCCTTCAGAAGCTTCTCTTTTTCATTCCTTATCTGATCAATGTCTATGTTGACCAAGTCATGGTCCACGGACTTCCTAACGGGCTTGCTGCTCTTACTCTTTTTGTTGCTATTACTTTCGTTGTTACTGTTCTCTCCCAAGTGCCTCTTAACAACATTGGTAATGTACTCGTAGCAGACTTTCACGCTTCTGTCCCTGAACCGAACCATGTTCAGCTTCTTCTTCGACTCAAACAGTTTGATGATTTTCTTCTTCACCTGCTGCACCTCGCTTAAGCTGTCGCTAGCCTCGCCGACAACCTCCTCTGTCTTGCTCGTGCCATCCTGGTTGTTGGCACTTCCCCCCTCTGCGCCATTCGCACTGGGTTCACCCGCACCCTCCTCCTCCGTATGCTCATCAAAAATGTTCGGATATATCAAGTTGATAATTTCGTAAATGTTCTTTGCATGCAGATCGAGAAAGTCAGAAAAATTTATGTACTTGTCAAAATCCTTTTCCTCACTTTGTGCGTCAATAATTGTCCTAATTTTGTCTTCACTAATGCGATACTTTTTCCACCTTTCTTCTAGCTTTTCTAACTCATCTAATTTTGCATTATTAAAAAATTGGAAGTCATGTCCCCCCCTCGCTTCTGCTCTCCATCCATGCAGCTCTATTTTTTTCTTGATAATTTTGTTGCTTGTCGAATTCATAACTTTCCATTTACTTTTTCTTTCTCCTAAATCAAGGAAGGCCATATTTTTTTTATTATTTTTCAGGAACTTTTTTATCGTACTTCTTATTTTGTTGAAGTTTTTCTTCTTTTTCTTCTTCTTTTTGACAACTCCGTCAATGCCTCCTGCACCTCCTGCCTGTCCTTCAATGTGGTCCCCCTCCGAGTAATTTCCTTCCTCGTCCTCTTCATCTTCCTCTCCATCCTCCGAGTCTGTATACTCCTCATCACTGGATCCTTCTGAACCGTCTTTTGTCAAATTGTTGTACATGTTCAATCCTCCATCTAGCGATATATTCGATAAATCAAAAATATTTTCTAAATTTTTTAACTTATTTTCAATTTCCATAGTTCTCTTCTCAGCATCGGCTAAAATGATATCAATATCTTCATCCGAAATGGACGAGATGTCTTGTGTTTTGTACACCTCCGGTGCTCCAAAATTTAAAATATCATGTAATTCTTGTTTGTTATTTTCTTTGTTATTCAAATTTAGCTTTCCCTTTTGAATAATAAGAGAGTCTAGCTTTAATTTCTTCGCTGCCCTTTCGACAATTTTCTCCTCCACTGAATTTTGTGTGACAAATCTGTACACAATGACTTTTTTTTTCTGACCTATACGATGTGCTCTGTCCATGGCTTGAATATCCATCTGCGGGTTATAATCTGAATCAAACAGGATCACAATATCTGCTGTAGTTAAGTTAATTCCAATTCCTCCTGCTCTGGTGGACAGCAAGAAAATAAAATATTTACTATTCGGTTCGTTAAACTGATTGATCCTAATTTGCCTCTCGTCTCCTACTGTAGACCCATCAATACGAAGGTACTCATAATTCTTCCACCTGCAATAATCATCAATGATATCTAAAACTCTGGTCATTTGTGAAAATAGAAGCACACGTGAATTTTCTTTTTTCAATCTTGGGAGCAGTTTATCCAGGAGGGACATTTTCCCAGATGTCTCGATCAAGTGATTCCCTTCAATGTAAGGTGGTTCTTCAATACCATCAAATAGGTAGGGATGATTACAGCACTTTCTCAGCTGCATAAGTATATTAAGCATTTGATTTTTGCTCCCCGTCATGGCATTAATTACATCAATATTTTTGCTAAGTATATCAGAGTATAATTTCTTTTGCAATTTTGACATGCCCACAAATACATATATCTCCCTCTTGGGAGGTAAGCACTGCTCCACTTCCACTTTAAGCCTTCTTAACATAAAAGGCTTTAAAATGGTGTGCAGCTGGGTGATTATTTCACTCTGCTTATTATCGTTGGAACTGATCTTTGATATATTAAACAAGTTGTCAAATTCTTCGGAGTTGTCAAATATTTTTGGCATTAAAAAATTTAATAGGGACCACAACTCCTTCAAGTTATTATGTAAGGGTGTTCCTGTAATTAGTAATCTATTCTCAGATCGCAAAAAACGGACAGAAGAACTTAACACACTTTTGTCATTCTTTATCCTATGTGCTTCATCTATTACGAGAAAAAACCAGTCGATATCAAACAAGGCGCTCTTATCCTTAATCACTATTTCGTAAGTCGTCAGCAGCACATCATAATCTGTATGTAACACATTCTTGTTCAATTCCCTTCTCTGTTCCTTACTCCCATAATATTTAAAAGCCTTCATTTGTGTACACCATTTTTTTATTTCTTGATACCAATTGTCTAATGTTGACCTGGGACATATAATGATACTTTTCCTTTTTATATTTTTATTAAATCTTAAGTAACATAACAAGCTGATAGTTTGCAAGGTCTTTCCCAAACCCATTTCGTCTGCTAAAATTCCGTTAATCTTGTGCCTATACAACTGGTACAGCCAATTTAGCCCTTCAATTTGATAAGGCTTCATGCACCCGTTGATATTAGCTGGCTGCTTCATAATAAACGTTTCATCCTCCTCATTGGCATCCTTCAATAACATATAATCTTCTTCCTTCTCTGTCATTGCACAACGTCTTGTTTTGTTCCCCTTTGATTGCACACTCATTTTTACTCGCTGACCTACGAGCTTCTCCGTATACCGCTTCGTCTCGGATAGGAGCTGTTGTAATTTTTCTTGCAAATAATTCACCTTCTCTTCACTCGGGGAGTTGGCACTCTCGTCGGGGTTCTCCTCCACCGGCTTTTCCTTATCAACAGCCTCTTCTTCCCCATCACCATTGATCTTATTTTCCTCCCCTTCCTCATCTACTGCCGTTGCTTCGGTCAATTTCCTCCTCTTCAAAGCTTCATCACTTAGATCCAGTTTGTGCTTATCCCTCCTACTGCTATTTTTGCCTTCCGGATCTGCAGCGTCGCGCTCGTTCTCGGATTCGCCGCTGAAGTCCTTCCCATCGTTACTTCCTGCGTCGCTCACCGCGCAACTCGCGCTGATCTCGCAATTACTCGCAAACTGTTCGCTCTTCTTGTAGGTGTCCCCGTTAGTAACGAAGTTTTTATTTTTACGACTGTCCTCATCACTCGTACTACACCCCTTCTTAGCATTATCCAAATCACTGTAACTGTCATATTTCTTTCTGAAATTATTTCCAGTTCTCACTTCCTCTTTGCAAATATCACCTACATTCTTGTAAGACCCCTCATTTAGGTAGTCCGCCTGGTTTGCTTCATCATAAAGGGGGCCCCGTTCTCCACTCCCGTCATTCACCCCATTGGCATTACCTTCACTTTCGTTATTACCTCCATCAACTGCTCCATTTTCGGAGTTTTCACTTTTTTCATTCGAACTTTTGAAATAGTCACGTACATTTCGGAACATCTTGGGAACCGTCTAGTCCGCAAGGTTGCCTGGTTAATATGGTTTCCCCCAAATGGGTATTGCCTGTGTGTCTTCTCTATATAAGACGTGTGTGTTGGCTTGCACAGGTTTTCACATAAGGTATGCTTCACGCTCCAGGTGCAGTACAGTTACATGCCATCCACAACATTACTTTCCTTATATCTCTCAACTAACTCTTGAGCCACAAAAAAAGGCCACACAAGCGTTCGTGTCTGCTTATCTTTAGCGCACACCAACGCGGTGTTGTGTACAACAAAAAAAATAAAAATAAAAATGAAACAAAATAAAAATGAAAAATAAAGAAAAATGAAGGGGCCCAATTTATGCACACGATATATGGGCACATTTACGCACGCAAATTATGTCCACAACCTATGCGCGCACATTCTAATGAGCTACTCTTCTCTTCATTAACAAATTGACCAGTCAAAGTTTGTCTTTGCTGTGCTCACATTAACATGGTTGGAGGGTGCACTACACTTCCTATTAGAGGGTGTAGTGCATAAACACACATACACGTATATTGAGATACGCGAACAGTTCTATTTATTCAAAAGGAATAAATCATCATAGGGCTAGACTTGGTAGTATTTTGCAGCTTCCCTCACTTTGTCTCCGTTTCTATTCATAAAAAAAAAAAAAAAAAAGGCGAGGAAAGCCTATTTTACTGTGTCAAATTTTCCTTTTTTCCGTTTTATTCTTGTTTCTTCTCCTTGGCTACACTTGTTCACTTGTTCACTTGTCCACCAGCTTATTTACTCACACGATCATTTGCGCACGCGCTCAGTTGTTTTATCGCCACACACATGCACCTTTAAAAAAACATTTTCCAGCTCCCATGAATGTGCGCAAAAATGCATGTACACATATATACCAGTGGATATATGTAAACACGAACGCACTATACCATGTTGCAAACACAGGACGCACAGACGTTTAGGTCCTTCACGTGCTCTGTGCGCTTCTCCGTGTAATGATTCATACGTGAGAATTTCTCAAAGGAGAAATGGGACTAAATTTGAAGGTAGGGGCACTGGTTGGACGAACTGGCAAGTTAACACACCAAAATTGCAAGCCAAAAATGTAAAAACAAAAAAGGCCGGAAAAAATTCAAAAGGAACGAGAACAAAAAATGCCAAGGGAAAGGGCAAAGGAAAAAGGACACAATTTCAACTTTGAAAATTTGCTATGACAAAAACACGCATTAAATCAAGAGAAGTACAATTGGCTAATCCTGTAAAATGCAAAAAAAAAAAATAAAAGAGGAAGGCACGCAGGTGATCATGGAAAATGTGTATTCCCCTACTGTGTAACAACCCATGCGTCCGCACTTAGTTTTCCTTAACAGGAGGCAAAGTACGCATACGGGACACAAGCATTCATTGCATATGTGTATATACGTAAATGTATAGTGTACATATGGATACATAAAACTGATTTTGGAAAATAATTTTCTTTTTTTTTTTTTTTTTTTTTTTTTTTTTTTTTTTTTTTTTTTTT